GTTCGACAGGCTAACCGCTGGAAGAAGTGCATTCGATCAAATATACCTTAATAACCGATGGTTTCTGCCTCAAAAGGAATTTAACGGAGTATTGCATATTATTCACTCATTTTTCCCAATGACTGATTGTTATTTTCGATCGTTTCTTTCAGCTTGCAAGATGTTTGTGCGAAGAATCCTCTATGGATGCAGCTGAGTTTCGACATAGCAACCGATCGAACGTGCACGAATAAAGTCTATGGTGTTTGGCTGTTGTTACGATGACATCCACGAAAAAGTAACCTTAGTCACAGCTTGTTTCCAAACTACATATCCTTTAATCTTGCTAAGCATCGGGGGTTTGATCCTTATATAGAGTGAAGAGTCAAAGTAAAAGACCTCACCCAATAAAAAAGAAGACATGTTTAAGTGAATGATAATGAAATATATGTTCCGTCCGCTGTAGGGGAAACATCAACGTCTGCATAGTGTTGCACGACAACGATCAAGAAGATTAGCTGGGAGGCGATAGTTGTGGCCAGTACCTCCTCGCAAGTTAAAAGTGGATTTCTCATACGCTCTCTCTGCCCTTGTTAATTTCAGAACGTCGTTGCGGATTAGCGACACAAATTGATAGAGAATATTCTTCACAGGCTAGGCTGTGAACAATTCCTGAAATTCCCGTTATTTCACSAATCATTTGACGTTTTAGTGTTGACAAGTTTTTCGTATTACGTAAGTAAAAATTGACTCAACGCGGCGGGGAGAATTTCTCTCAAAATTTCTTCCCTAAGAGTCAAAGCTACCGTCCAAAATTCAAACTTCACTGTTAGGTTTATTGGCGCACCGATAACCTTGTAAATAGCTCAAACATGGTGAAAAAATTTTTTATTAGTTTTTGTATATCTTTATCCTTTGTTCAATACGATCTTACACATTTCGGGCTTAAACTTTTCGTGGGGAACAAGTGCAACAGCTTACATGACGTATTTCAAATTTAACCGCTGTGCTATAAACTTGTGTGTTCGACCCTAGACGAACGCCTTCGATATAGCGTCACCCTTCTGCAACAAGGGTTCAGATGAGATTGCAACACACATGCGCATGTCAGTTCAAAGCTTGAAAGTCGCATGGAGGAAGCAAATCCTCTTTGCTGCTGTGATAAGTTGTGTTCAGGTCGCAAAATGCTAGTGAAAGAACACTACACTGGGGAGGGGGGGAAGATAAAACCAAAGGGTGGGAATGTGACCCCTTGTTGCGGTTGGTGACTCTTACAATTCCAATAGAACTTCAACTTCAGGTTTCTCAATTGGACCTGTAACCCGTAACACCTGAACGGGTGTCACTGGTAAGTATTACAGCTGTCAAAGCGCTTCGAGAAGTAGAGCGAATGAAAGAACGACCTTTTAAGAGGTAACCGAGTTTAGTATTGAGAGTTCGCCCGGCCACTGAAGAAAACGAATAATTACGAGAATTGGAGCGAGAATTCGCGTCATTGCGGAAGTCGTCAAACGGACTCACTAAGCCTTCATTGGTCACCGCGGTAAAAAGAGATGACACGACCACTCTCTTGAGTTCAACAAAATTAATATGACGCCCACTGACATCTCACAGACTCCCAAAACACATTTTGGGACAATCAGGGTGAGAAGTGCAAGTTTTGCCGCCTTGTGTATCAAACAGCATATAGCAAAGGTAGATCTCCCGCCCCAAGTAGCATTTCCAGGCTCTACGCCTACCGGGAGTGGTAAAGACCACACCAAGGTTTACGAGGCAGTTGCGATAGTTGAAAAGGCTATGAGCAGGGTAGGACCGTAGCAAGGATCTTTCCAGCGTGGGTCTGCTGTGGGCCCATACAGAAGTCTGGGTACGAGAAGTAACAATTCGATCCAATGTTTCTCTTGTGGGAAGTTTGGCCATTATTCGTCCAGATGTTATGCGAGGAGAAGTACTCAAAGGCCACCGGCAGCTGGGGTCGTGGTGGGGACGATAAATAAATATATTTTGTTTTCCACGAGTGTGAAAAGACAAATAAACATGGAACATTAGAGAGTGTCTTTAATGACGTAATGGAATGTAAAGGGTGAAACCGAAAATAACAAGGCCTTTAAGAGGCTCCAGTACATTGGATCAGAATGAAGAATTAAAATTTTTGACTGCTTTTTTCCCTCGAAACCTATGGTTAGCCTCCCACTCTCTCCTCTAGGTCTACGAGTAGTTTACTATTCAGACTACATACATTAGTGCAGCGCGTGAGATTGCAACAGATGAATAAATCATCACTGCGGCTCAACAGCAGTGCGGCGGTAATCGTGAGAGGACGAAAGTTCTGGGAGGCCAACACCGGATTTTCTTCTTTACCCACCCACCCCTCCTGCTCTCCTCAGTTCTTACTCTGCGACCATTGTCGGGTCGCAAAATTTATCCACAATCTCTTTGCGGTGCAACAATGGAAGCAGTGTGGAAAAGTTTCGCTCACTTGCTAGGGCGGCTATGAAAATTTTAAATGAGGAGGCAGCCGGTTTGTGTGGTCAGAATTTATATCGTTGTCGAAAAGAGTACAGACCACGCTAACCCAACCCCTATCACTAATCTCAAAGTAAAAACCGTCATCAATTTTGTAAAGAAGCCAGTCACTGTCACTAACGGTAGCTCAGGTAGAAACGAAATAAAAAAAAAACAAAAACAAAAACAAATCCAACAAACAAATAATAATTAAAGAAAGAACTAAATAGAAAAAGAAAAAGAAAAATTCATTAATTTGATCTCTATACTCCAAGACCTTGGAAGTAGACCTTGAATGACGTCATAAGGAGCATTCGGAGATCAAGATTGTTATCAACACAGCCTTAGACTGTCTAACACCAGTAGTAACTCATCAGCGACCAATTGTCCTCTTACTTTCTTGGCCCGTCTCCTTGTCTTTGAGTTGCACTGTATGTTATCTTACTGGGTCATATAAATATCTTGTTCACTGTTCTCTGTGGCTAGTGCATCCTGCGAAGACTAACGCTGGTGAACACTTATTCCATTATCATCGCGTGGGTGTCATAGCAAAAGCGCCTGAAATCGGGAGAGCAAAATCGCATGATCACATTTTCAAACTGGTATTTGCAAGCCAAGAAGAAGAAAAAGAGGTGAGAGAAAAAGACAATAACAGGAAGCCTGGGTACGAACCTTTTTCGGAAACTGAGGTAAAACAAAAGCGGCTCTGTGAACTTCAGCAGTGTAGTATCTCAGCTGCAGTTTCTCAAGTTGGTCCTCGGTAAACTCAGTGACAGGATTACCAAACTTAGTTTCCTAAAATGCGATGAGAAATAGATGCTACAGCCTCGTTTTCTCTCGTGATCTACTTTGCTTTCTTTCTGTTTTTTGTCTCTATAGGTCGTTATTGTTGTTGTTGTTTACGTTTTTGTTTATATTTGTAAATTTGAGTTTTCTTTAGGAAAAAGTTGTTCAGGATAAGTGGGTTGATATTTAAAAGCACAGGATCCAAGGCACTTTCACACTTTTTAAATGTGTCTTGAATACACTTCTCTGCCATCTCCAACCCCATCTTGTGTTTCGATTTCCAGATAAATCGTCCTTTTCAGATCCATTTTTTTCTACCCATTTATCGAATTCCGTCGACCACCGACCTAAGAAAAGACTGATGTTGAAGTCTGTCACAAGGAATTACCAACCTTAGTTTTGCTACACAGTATAAATCCTATCTGTCCACTTGGATATGTAGGTATTGTTGTGTACCATAACTGACTGCAGGAAATAAGCTTCTACATAATTCTAAGAACGTCTTGATTAAGGGGATATGAAGCCATATGCATTCACCTATGACAAATAAAAAAAGCGTTACTTAGTTTCAGTGATTCGAACGTAAAACGTAGAGTCTGTTATGCTTTTAGGCAAGACTGAATCTCGACCAACCTAATACATATCAAAAGAGATGAATATGCTTGAGACAAATGTACCGATATAAAAGGTTACTACGAGTTGATAAATATCTAATCGTTTTTTTCACTTAGTAAATTCCGTTTCGAAAGCCACTCAGCACGTTTCTAGTGCGATAAGGAAGAGTAATA